ATTAGGTCCCATTGGTTTATTTTTGCTTTTGTTTCTAATATTCTGGGATGTGGGTCATAGAGGATCCTGCTGTAATTTATGTCGGAGAGTGTTTGGCCTATGTTCTCCTCTAGGAGTTTTATAGTTTCTGGTCTTACATTTAGATCTTTAATCCATTTTGAGTTTATTTTTGTGTATGGTGTTAGAAAGTGTTCTAGTTTCATCCTTTTACAGGTGGTTGACCAGTTTTCCCAGCACCACTTGTTAAAGATGTTGTCTTTTTTCCATTGTATATCCTTGCCTCCTTTGTCGAAGATAAGGTGACCATAGGTTTGTGGATTTATCTCTGGGCTTTCTCTTCTGTTTCATTAATCTATATTTCTGTCTTTGTGCCAGTATCATACTGTCTTGATGACTGTGGCTTTGTAGTATAGTCTGAAGTCAGGCAGGTTGATTCCTCCAGTTCCTTTCTTCTTTCTCAAGATTGCTTTGGCTATTCGAGGTTTTTTGTATTTCCATACAAATTGTGAAATTATTTGTTCTAGTTCTGTGAAAAATACCGTTGCTAGCTTGATAGGGATTACATTGAATCTATAGATTGCTTTGGGTAGTATAGCCATTTGACAATATTGATTCTTCCAATCCATGAATACGGTATATTTCTCCATTTGTTTCTGTCCTCTTTGATTTCTTTCATCAGTGATTTATAGTTTTCTATGCATAAGTCTTTTTTTTCTTTAGGTAGATATACTCCTAAGTATTTTATTCTTTTGGTTGCAATGGTGAATGGTATTGCTTCCTTAATTTCTCTTTCTGTTTTCTCATTCTTAGTGTATAGGAATGCAAGAGATTTCTGTGTGTTAATTTTATATCCTGCAACTTTGCTATATTCATTGATTAGCTCTAGTAATTTTCTGGTAGAGTCTTTAGGGTTTTCTATGTAGAGGATCATGTCATCTGCAAACAGAGAGAGTTTCACTTCTTCTTTTCCTATCTGGATTTCTTTTACTTCTTTTTCTGCCCTGATTGCTGTGGCCAACACTTCCAAAATTATGTTGAATAGGAGTGGTGAGAGGGGGCACCCTTGTCTTGTTCCTGATTTTAGGGGAAATGCTTTCAATTTTTCACCATTGAGGGTAATGCTTGCTGTGGGTTTGTCATATATAGCTTTTATTATGTTGAGGTATGTTCCTTCTATTCCTGCTTTCTGGAGAGTTTTAACCATAAATGGATGTTGAATTTTGTCAAAGGCTTTTTCTGCATTTATTGAGATAATCATATGGTTTTTATCTTTCAATTTTTAAATGTGGTGTATTACATTGATTGATTTGTGGATATTAAAGAATCCTTGCATTCCTAGGATAAAGCCCACTTGGTCATGGTGTATGATTTTTTTAGTATGTTGTTGGATTCTGTTTGCTAGAATTTTGTTAAGGATTTTTGCATCTATGTTCATCAGTGATATTGGCCTGTAGTTTTCTTTTTTTGTGGCATCTTTGTCTGGTTTTGGAATTAGGGTGATGGTGGCCTCATAGAATGAGTTTGGAAGTTTACCTTCTTCTGCAATTTTCTGGAAGAGTTTGAGTAAGATAGGTGTTAGCTCTTCTCTAAATTTTTGGTAGAATTCAGCTGTGAAGCCATCTGGTCCTGGGCTTTTGTTTGCTGGAAGATTTCTGATTACAGTTTCGATTTCCTTGCTTGTGATGGGTTTGTTAAAATCTTCTATTTCTTCTTGGTTCAGTTTTGGAAAGTTATACTTCTCTAAGAACTTGTCCATTTCTTCCAAGTTGTCCATTTTATTGGCATAGAGCTGCTGATAGTAGTCTCTTATGATCCTTTGTATTTCAGTGTTGTCTGTTGTGATCTCTCCATTTTCGTTTCTAATTTTGTTAATTTGGTTCTTCTCCCTTTGTTTCTTAATGAGTCTTGCTAATGGTTTGTCAATTTTGTTTATTTTTTTTTTTCCAAAAAACCAGCTTTTAGCTTTGTTGATATTTGCTATGGTCTCTTTTGTTTCTTTTGCATTTATTTCTGCCCTAATTTTGATTTGCATTTCTCTGATAATGAGTGATGTTGAGCATCTTTTCATGTGTTTGTTAGCCATCAGTATGTCTTCTTTGGAGAAATGTCTGTTTTGTTCTTTGGCCCATTTTCTGATTGGGTCTTTTATTTTTCTGGAATTCAGCTTCAGGAGCTGCTTGTATATTTTTTAGATTAATTCTTTGTCAGTTGCTTCATTTGCTTTATTTTCTCTCATTCTCAAGGCTGTCTTTTCACCTTGCTTTTAGTTTCCTTCGTTGTGCAAAAGCTTTTAAGTTTAATTAGGTCCCATTTGTTTATTTTTGCTTTTATGTCCATTACTCTGGGAGATGGGTCTTTGAGATTCTTGCTGTGATTTATGTCAGAGTGTTTCACCTATGTTTTCCTCTAGGAGTTTTATAGTTTCTGGTCTTACATTTAGATCTTTAATCCATTTTGTGTTTATTTTTATGTATGGTGTTAGAAAGTATTCTAGGTTCATTCTTTTACAGGTGGTTGACCAGTTTTCCCAGCACTACTTGTTGAAAAGATTTTATTTCCCCACTGTATATTTTACATCCTTTTTCATAGATAAGGTGTCCATTGGTGCATAGATATATCTCTGGGCTTTCTATTTTATTCCATTTATCTAAATTTCTGTCTTTGTACCAGTACCATACTGTCTTGATGACTGTAGCTTTGTAGTACAGTCTGAAGTTAGGCAGGTTAATTCCTCCATTTCCACTCTTCTTTCTCAAGCTTGCCTTTGCTGTTTGAGGTTTTTTGTATTTCCATACAAACTGTGAAATTATTTGTTCTAGTTCTGTGAAAAATGCCGCTGGTGGCTTGATAGGGAATGCATTGAATCTGTAGATTGCTTTGGGTAGCATAGTCTATTTCACTATATTGATTCTTCCAATCTGAGAACATGGTATATGGTCTATTTCTCCATCTGTTTGTGTCATCTTTGATTTCTTTCATCAGTGTTTTATAGCTTTCTATATATAGGTATTTTGTTTCTTTTAGGTAGGTTTATTCTGAAGTATTTTCTTTTTGTTGCAATGGTGAATGGTATTGTTTTCTAATTTCTCCTTGTCTTCTCATTGTTACTGTATAGGAATGCAAGGGATTTCTGAATGTTAATTTTATATCCTGAAATTTTACTATATTCACTGATTAGCTCTAGTAACTTTCTGGTTGTGTCTTTAGGGTTTTCTATGTAGAGGATCATGCCAACTGCAAACTGAGAGTTTTACTTCTTCTTTTTCCAGTATGGATTCCTTTTATTTCTTTTTCTTCTCTGATTGCTGTGGCTAAAACTTCCACAACTATGTTGAATAGTAGTGGTGAGAGTGGGCACCCTTATCTTGTTCCTGATTGTATGGGAAATGCTTTCAACTTTTCACCATTGAGGATAATGTTTGCTGTGGGTTTATCATATATGACTTTTATTATGTTGAGGTATGTTCCTTCTAGGCCTCCTTTCTGGAGAGTTTTTATCATAAGTAGTTGTTGAATTTTGTCAAAGGCTTTCTTTGCATCTATTGAGATAATCTTATGGTTTTTATCTTTCAATTTGTTAATGTGGTGCATCGCCTAGATTGATTTGCAAATACTGAAGAATGCTTGCATCCCTGAGATAAAGCCCACTTGGTCATGATGTGTGATCTTTTTAACATGTTATTGGATTCTGCTTGATAGAATCTTGTTGAGGATTTTTGAGTCTTTGTTGTAGTTTTCTTTTTTTGTGGCATCTTTGTCTGGTTTTGCTATTAGGGTGATGGTGGCCTCATAAAATGTATTTGGAAGTTTGCCTTCCTATGCAATTTTCTGAAAGAGTTTGAGTAGGATAGGTGTTAGTTCTTCTTTAAATTTTTGGTAGCATTCACCTGTGAAGCCATCTATCCTAGGCTTTTGTTTGTTGGAAGATTTTTTATTACAGTTTTATTTCCATGCTTGTGATGGGTCTGTTAAGATTTTGTATTTATTCCTGGCTCAGTTGTGGAAGGTTATACTTTTGTAAGAATTCATCCATTTCTTCCAAGTTGTCCATTTTATTGGCATATATTTGCTGATGGTAATCTCTTATGGTCCTTTGTATTCCTCTGTTGTCTGCTATAATTTCTCCATTTTCGTTTCTAATTTTGTTGATTTGATTCTTCTACCCTTTTTTTCCTAATGAGTCTGGCTACAGCTTTGTCTTTTATTTATCTTCTCAAAGAACCAGCTTTTAGTTTTGTTGATTTTTGCTACAGTCTCCTGTCAAGGGATATTCAACTTTAGGGATCCAATATGTTTCCTTCCTTTGTGTGTCGTTTCTCAAGGACTCTCTGTTCCTTATCATCTCCTGGAAAACAGGAACGAGCAGAGCTGCACTCAGTTCTCAGGACTGAGGTCATGGGAAAGGGCACCTGCTTGGATTCCCTTCAGTGACTGTCATCAGTGACCTTCTACTTAAAGGACTATCCATTTTGTTGCAACTGGTGGAATTTAATTCTTTTTAATGGCTGAGTAATCATTTTATTGAAGATATACAAGCATGCGTTTCTGCAAATGAAGTACCCTTATCTCACTCGAGACTTGGGTCCCCTGCATCCTTCTTCTTGTCGACTCCAGTCCCCAGGTCCCGGTCTACAATTGGCTGTGGCAATTGGCGCCCGAACAGGGACCTGGTGAATGCCCTTGGCAAGCAGACGGAGTGAATGTTAGGACCTAAGGAGGTCGGTAAGTGCAGGGGTTATGGGACAAATTGCTGGAAAGCCCCACCTCTTTTCTACTTTACTTCATCATTTATTGAAGGTTCAAGGACTTTTGTTTTCACGTCAGCAGATACAGGCTTGTTTCCAAACAGTGGTTGAATATAATTCCTGGTTCCCTGATGAAGGCAGTTTCAATTTAAAAATTTGTAACTGGGTTAAAAAAAAAAAAGTGTTGAATGAGCCACAAGACAGGGAGAAAATATTGCAATATATTTCTGGCCCTTGTGGGCCCTCATCAAAGCCATGATCTTGCTATTTCAAGGCAACTCTAGCCCCCCTGATATTCGTCAACAAATGGAATCCTCATTGTACAAATATAAATTAGATGATAAGACTTTACAAAAGACCCAATTAGAGCAACATAAAATGTTTCAAAACTTTCCCACCATCCCTGCTCCAGCTGTCCCAAGTGCTCCTCCTCCTCTTTTAATGGGCATAAAACCAAAGCCCCCTTCGATTCAAGGACAAGATGAATCTGATGATGATTCTTCTGATGCTCTCTTTGACACTAAAGCCAACAATACTTTGTCTTTTGATGACAGTGATAAGCCCCTAGCACACATTCATATTTATGAAGAGAGACCATCCACTCATTCTCCTTCACGACAAAGGCTTTCTGATTTACTGGCTTTGCAATCTTGAGTCTCTGAGGCTGATGGTCGTTTTTCCTTTCCTGTGTTAAAAAATGTTAATGCTCAAAGACAACTAATACCTCAATATGAAGACATTAATTTTGCTCACATGCAACAAATGAAAAAGGCTATACCTATGCACGGCTCTCATTCACCTTTTACTAAAGAACTTCTAAACACTATGTCATCTCCTATTGAAAATTTTACTTCTTATGATTGGCAAATTTTGATAAAAGCTCTTCTTAAACCAGGAAAATATCTTCAATAGATAATATGGTTTCATGATGTGGCCCAAGATCATGTCAGTTCTAATGCTCAAGCTAGCACTCCCCCAAACCAAATTACTTTTAAAATGTTAACTGGTACAGGGCAATTTAATTCAATGGAAGCTCAGATACAATGTCCTCCTTTGTTACATGAGCAATTGAAAGAAGGTGCCCTTGAAGCTTAGGATCAAATTACTCCGCAAAAAGAACCTAAAGATAGCTACATAAAAATGTTACAAGGGCCTAGTGAAACCTATGCTGATTTTTTTTTTTTTTTTTTTTTTTTAGCTAGACTGGGGGTTGCTATCTCCCATAGTGTTGTCAGAGAGGAGGCCAGAGTACAATTAGAAAAACTGCTTACATATGAAAATGTGAATCAGGAATGTCAGAGAGCTATTGCTCCAATTCGTGAGACCAGAAATGTTATTGATTATTTAAAAGCTTGTCGCAACTTAGGATCAAAAACTCAGAAAATGCAAATGTTAGCTGAAGCAATGGCTGCTACCTATAAAAAGAAAAATGGGAGATGTTTTGTTTGTAGGGATAAGAGCCATTTAAAAAAGGATTGCCCACTTGTTTCTTTTACCTTACCTTCTATTAACTCCTCTAATGATACGGACAGATGGATTTGGTAATACTAATCAAAAACAATCCTTATGAACATCAATAATACCTAAATATGCACGACCAAATGTCAATATCAAAATTAATGACAAAAGATTTTCTGGTCTTCTTGATACTGGATCCAATATTACCATTATTTCCAAATATTTATGGCCCAAATCTTGGCTTATACAAAGAATTTCTTACCAAATTGCAGGAGTTTCTCAAACCAAAATACAAGAGGTTTATCGAAATGTCCAAATATATCCATGTGAGGGACCAGAAGGCCAGCCTACAACATTACAACTTTATGTAATAGATGCACCCCTTAATTTAATAGGAAGATATTTACTTATACAATGACAAACTCAAATATATATTCCACATTTTTCCTAGGGGGCACTGTTCATTTAATAAACAATACAATTATTAAAATAACTTGAAAAAATGATGAGCCTATTTAGACAGAGCAACGGCCCCTTACAAAAGAGAAATTAAAGGCTACTAAAAAACTTATACACAATTGAAATTAAAACATATTGAAAAATCTTGTTCCCCTTGAAATTCTCCCATGTTTATGATAAAGAAGAAATCTAATAAATGGCATCTTTTAACAGACCTTTGAAAGTTTAATGCATCCATAAAACCTATGGATACATTACAACCAAAAATTCCATCACCTACCACTATTCCTCAAAACTGACATATTATTATTATAGATTTACAAGATTGCGTTTTTACTATACCTCTACACCCTCTAGACCGACAGAGATTTGCTTTCTCTCTCCCTTATCCTAATCATATCGGCCCTCACATATGATATCAATAGTCTGTGTTGCCTCAAAAAATGATAAATTCTCCCACCACGTGTCAAAATTATGTAGCCAAAGCTCTTAAACCTATTAAAAAAAAAGTTCCTAACTTTCTTGTTATTCACTATATAGATGATATATTGTCTTCAGCTCCTTCTAATTTAAAAACTCAACAGATGTTTGACATAACTCAACAATACTTAGAGCCACTTCCCTGGTGGCCCAGAGGTTAAAGCGTCTGCCTCCAATGCGGGAGACCCGGGTTCGATCCTTGGGTCGGGAAGATACCCTAGAGAAGGAAATGGCAACCCACTCCAGTATTCTTGCCTGGAGAATCCCATGGACGGAGGAGCCTGGTAGGCTACAATCCACGGGGTCGCATAGAGTCGGACAGGACTGAGCGACTTCACTTCACTTCACAACAATACTTTAAAGATTCTAGATTAATCATTGCCCCCTGAAAAGAGTCAAACCTCTACACCTTACTATTACTTAAAATTTATTGTTAATAGACAACGTATTACTCCCCAACTAACACAGATTCATGTTAATAAATTATCAACCTTAAGTGATTTTCAAAAACTTTTAGGTGATATAAATTGGATTAGACTCTCTTTAGACATTACATATTATTAACTGACTAATTTATTTAACAGTTTAAAAAGAGATTCCAATTTAAATAGCCCTCATTCACTTTCACAAAAGACAGGACAACTCTGTTTAATACAAAATAAATTGCAAAAACAGTTTCTTACTCATATTAGACTTTATTTACCTCTAGAGTTATTTATACTCCCCTCTCTCCATTCTCAAACAGGACTTCTTACCCAACAAGAATACCCGATAGAATGGATCTATATCCATTTTAGAGGGACAAAGTCACTTACACCCTATCTTGATTTGATCACTCTAATCATTATCAGTGGAAAAAACAGAGCTAAGACTCTAATTGGCTCTGATCCTCATAAAGTTGTAGTACCTATTAATAAATCTCAATTCAAAAACACATTACAAACTTCTAACGATTTCCAAATAGCCTTTCTGAAATATTTTAAAGAAATTTCATTTCATTATCCTTCTAACAAACTTTGGAATTTCTTCAAAAATACTGAATTTATTACCTCTCACATTGTCACATCACAACCTATACCTCAAAGTGGTGTTTTTTTATATGGATGGGACTAAAAATGCTAAAGCCTCATTCTGGTCTCTCAAAGAATATAAAGTTTTTTATACTAAATTTCACTCTGCTCAACAAAATAAATTATATGCTCTCATTTAGGTTATTCACCTACATCCTTACCCTATTAATATAGTTTCTGATTCTTTATATTCAGTTTTTGTATTATGATATATAAAAACTTCTACCATAAATTCTAATCAGTCTATTATTCAACAATTTTTCTTGAACTACAATCTATTGTTGAGAACCACACTTACCCCATTTATATTACCCATATTCGAGCACATTCTTGTCTTCCTGGCTCTATGGCTCATGGCAATGAACAAGCTGATAAACTTGTCTCTTTTGCTACTCCTGAAGAGCAACGTGCTCTATTAAACAATAATTCTGGCTCATTACATCAAATTTAGAAAATTCCATACCAACATGCTAAAAAAATCATTAATAATTGCTCTACTTGTAGGCCCCTACATCTTCAACCCATTGCACAAAATACCAATCCTCAAGGATTACAACCCAGTAAACTATGGCAAATAAATATAACTCATTGCCCTAAACGTTCTCCCTCTTCCTTCTTACATGTCTCAATCAATACAAATTCTTCTTTTATATGGGCCACATCTCTCCAAGGTGAAACTACACAACATGTTATAACCCACCTGTTAACTTGCTTTACAATAATGGAAACACCTAATTCTATAAAAACAGACAATGGCCCTGCCTATATTTCTAGGCAATTCAAACAACAATTTTTACATTCATTCTATATTAAACATATTACAGACATTCCTTATAACCCACAAGCACAGGACATAGTTGAACGAACACATCACCCACTGAAACTACAAATAAAAAAATTACAAAGGGGGAATACATAGGAACACTTCTATCTTCCTTATCCAGAGCAGACTTTACTAGATTCCAATGCAATATATTCTTTAATCATATAACTATTGTTAATACAGCTTTATTTGTTTTAAATTTTTTAAACTTACCACAAGGAGATATTTTGACAAAAGCAGAAAAACATTTCAAGACATTGCAGGATACCTCCCTTCCTCTGCTCATTTGGTATCAAGACGAGTTGACTAAACAATGGAAATCTAGAAAATTAACATTACAGGGAAAGGGGTATGCTTGTATTTCTCCAAATAGATCCAACAAAATCAGTTGGCTCCCTCTTCGGAAGATCTGCCCCAGGGGAGCCACCAGCGTCCAAGATAGAGAAGAAAAGGCAAAATCTCCAGGAGGAGGAGATTCCAGTACAAGCCATGGCGGCTTTAAACATTTCCAAAAAATGCTGCACTCGACGTCATCGACCTTATGATCTCCCTACTTGAAGACAGATTAAAATTAAAAAAAAAAAAAAACCTTACTAATCAAGCTGAAAATCTGGTTTCTCAACAGGGAATACTCGAAATCCTGAAAATATTTTTGTTGCTATGCTTGTTTTGCTTGTTTTTGCTTCCCCCGCTCAGGCTGACTTGATTAATCACACTTATTGGGCTTATATACCTAACCCCCCCACCCCATTATTGCAGGTTATAAAATGGACAGACATAGGACTGATCATATCCACTAATGACTCAGTACATATGCCTCCTCCTTGGAGCTTGGAGGGGCCCTCTCATCCTGAGAAAGAAGGGAGACTAATTAACATTCCTCTAGGCTATGAAATCCTTCCTTTATGCATGGGCCCAGCAGAATTATGTATTAATGTTCATCAACAAACATGGACTTTCATTCTGCCTCCAAAAAAGAACTTCCACACATTGCTTGGACTGTTTACTGCCCTGTCCTTTTATGAAAACCATGTCCATACTACCAAAACTCTAGGAAAAGGAAAAAAGTTGGAATGTAAGGGGTTTACTTATAAGGACTTTTAAATATACTCTTGTTTATTGGGATAGATGTCAAGCTCAGTCAGGGAAATTAATGTTTGTGGCCAATTACACCATTGTTGATTGGGGACCCCATGGTATGTGGCTATCTAACTGCTCAGATGATATTAACAGTACTATATGTGATTGTGTTCCTCAAGTAGCATGGAAGATTACCAACAATTCAATGAAACACTTCCATGACAAAGGGCTCCTTGGCTGGCTTGATGGCGAAATGACACCTCCTTGCCCTCAAATCATCCTCAATAAACGAATTGGGCCTGAACAATGGGACATCTGAAAACTTGCTGCAAGTACTGAAAAACTTGCAAATTGGACTAGATATTTCACAGAGATCAGTTGTAGTCATAGTAACTATTCCTTCCGTTATAATCATTCATATTTTATACAAGCTTGTGTTCCCCTTCCTTTTGTTATAGCCATAGGAAACTTACAATTTAATAAGACTTTACGTTCTGTGACTTGTATAGGTTGCAAATTGTATACTTGTCTCAATTCCTCTATTTCTCTAAAAAAACAAATCCCTTTTGATTCTTCGATCTCGACATAGTCTGGGGTTGCCAGTAGATCTCCAACGACTCTGGGAAAAGTGTCCCATGGCAGGGCTTGCCTCCTGGTTACTCGCTAAATTACTCCAATGATCTAAGCAATTCATTGGATGGCTAATTCTTGGCATTTTGGGGTTAATAGCCATTTGCAACACTGCTTCTGTTGCAGGCATTGCTTTACAAACTTCAATTCAAACACAAAACTTTATTCAAAATTGGACTAAAGATGCTCATACTATGTGGGTCACTCAGGTTCAGATAGATGAAAAAGTTCAGGATAAAATTCAGGAATTAAAAACAGCCATCCAATGGGTTGGAGATCAATTAATAGATTTACAAAAACAAATATTATTAAATTGTGATTGGAATTCTACTCAATTTTGTATCACTCCTGTTCGGTTCAACCATAATGCTTACAATTGGAAACAAATCAAATTTCGTTTGCAAGATATACATAATAACCCTTCCTTAAACTTACAATTGTTGCAAAAGGAAATTCTTTTTAATGGCTGACTAATCATTTTATTGAAGATATATAAGCATGCATTTCTGCAAATAAAGTACTCATGTTTCACTCGAGACTTGGCTCCCCTGTGTCCTTCTTCTCACAGACTCCAGTCCCCAGGTTCTGGTCTACGAAGACCATGACTGTCTCCTTTGTTTCTTTTTCATTTATTTCTGCTCTGATTTTTATGATTTCTTTCCTTCTACTAATGCCGGGGTTCTTCATTTCTTCCTTCTCTAGTTGCTTCAGGTGTAAAATTAGGTTATTTATTTGATTTTTGTTGTTTGTTTCTTGAAGTAAGCTTGTATTGTTATGAACATTCACGTTAGCACTTCTTTTACTGAATCCCATAGGTTTTGGGTTGTCTTATTTTCATTTTCATTTGGTTCTATGCACATTTTGATTTTATTTTTTATTTCTTCCATGATTTGTTGGTTATTCAGAAGTGTGTTGCTTAGCTTCCATATGTTTATATTTGTAATAGTTATTTTTCCCCCATAGTTGACATCTAATCTTACTGTATTGTGATCAGAAAAGACGCTTGCAATGATTTCACTTGTTTTGTTTTGTTTTGTTTTTTTTAATTTACCAAGGCTAGATTTATGGCCCAGGATGTGATCTATCCTGGAGAATCCTCTGTGTACACTTGAGAAAAAGGTGAAATTCTTTGTTTTGGGGGTGAAATGTCCTATAGATATCAATTAGGTCTAACTGATCCATTGTATCATTTAAAGTTTGTACTTCCTTGCTAATTTTCTGTTTGGTCAATCTATCCATAGATGTGAGTGGGGTATAAAGTCTCCCACTATTATTGTGTTACTGTTAATGTCCCCTTTTTACTTGTTAGCATTTCCCTTACATATTGAGGTGATCCTATGTTGTGTGCACATATATTTATAATTGCTATATCTTCTTCTTGGATTGATCTTTTGATCATTATGTAGTGTCCTTCTTTGTCTCTTTTCATGGTCTTTATGTCAAAGTCTATCTTATCTGATTTGAGTATTTTTACTCCTGCTTTCTTTTGGTCTCCATTTGCATGAAATATCTTTTCCCAGCCCTTCACTTTCAGTCTTGTATGTGTCCCTTGTTTCGAGGTGGGTCTCTTGTAGACAGCATATATAGATTGTCTTGTTTTTAATCCATTCAGCCAATCTTTGTCTTTTGGTTGGGGCACTCAACCCACTTATATTTAAAGTAATTATTGATAAGTATGATCCCGTTGCCATTTACTTTGTTGTTTCGAGTTCGAGTTTATAAACCTTTTCTGTGTTTCCTGTCTAGAGAAGATCCTTTAGCATTTGTTGAAGAGCTGGTTTGGTGGTGCTGAATTCTCTCAGCTTTTGCTTGTCCATAAAGCTTCTGATTTCTCTTTCATATTTGAATGACATCTTTGCTGAGTATAGTAATCAGGGTTGTAGGTTTTTCTCTTTCATCACTTTAAGTATGTCTTGCCATTTCCTTCTGGCCTGAAGAGTTTCTATTGAAAGATCAGCTGTTATCCTTGTGGGGATCCCCTGGGGTGTTATTTGTTGCTTTTCTCTTGCTGCTTTTAATACTTGTTCCTTGTGTTTGATCTTTATTAATTTGATTAATATGTGTCTTGGGGTGTTTCACCTTGGGTTTATTCCTGTTTGGGACTCTCTGGTTTTGGACTTGGGTGGCTATTTTTTTTCTCATTTTAGGGAAGTTTTCAACTATTATCTCCTCAAGTATTTTCAAATACCCTTTCTTTTTGTCTTCTTCTTCTGGGACTCCTATGATTTGAATGTTGGGATGTTTAGCATTGTCTCAGAGGTCTCTGAGGTTGTCCTCATTTCAATTCTTTTTCTCTTTTCCTCGCTGCTACATTTATTTCCACGATTCTACCTTCCACCTCACTTATCTTATCTTCTGCCTCAGTTATTCTACTGTTGGTTCCCTCCAGAGTGCTTTTGATCTCATTTATTGCATTATTGACTCTTCTTTATTTCTTCTAGGTCCTTGTTAAATATTTCTTGCATCTTATCAATCCTTGTCTCTAGTTTATTTATCTGTAACTCTATTTTGTTTTCAAGATTTTGGATCATCTGTACTATCATTATTCTGAATTCTTTTTCAGGTAGACTCCCTGTCTCCTCCTCTTTGGTTTGGTTTGGTGGGCATTTATCATGTTCCTTTACCTGATGAGTATTTCTCTGCCTTTTCATTTTGTTTAGATTGCTGTGTTTGGGGTGCCGTTTCTGTAGGCTGGAAGTTCGTGGTTCCTCTTTATGGTGGAGCCTGCTCCCTGTGGGTGGAGTAGGACTAGTGGCTTGTCAAGGTTTCCTGGTTAGGGAAGCTTACGTTGGTGTTCTGGTGGGTGGAGTTGGATCTCTTCTCTCTGGAGTGCAATAAAGTGTCCAGTAGTGAGTTTTGGGGTGTCTATGGGTTTGGCATGGCTTTGGGCAGCCTGTCTTTTAATGCTCAGGTCTGTGTTCCTGCTTTGTTGGAGAATTAGCATGGTATATCTTGCTCTGGAACTTGCTGGCTCTTGGGTGGAACTTGGTTTCAGTAGGTACAGAGGCTTTTGGGTGAGCTCTTGTCTATTAATATTCCCTGGAATCAGGAGTTCTCTGGTGTTCTCAAGTTTTGGAGTTAAACCTGCTGCCTCTGGTTTTCAGTCTTATTCTTATAGTAGCCTCAAGACTTCTCCATCCATATAGCACAGATGATAAAACATCTAGGTTAATGGTGAAAAGATTCTTCATAGTGAGGGACACCCAGAGAGTTTCATAGAGTTACATGGAGAAGAGAAGAGGAAGAGGGAGATAGAGGTGACCAAGAAAGAAGAGGATGAGTCAAAAAGGGAGACAGCAATCTAGCCTGTAATCAGTTCCTTATGTGTTCTCCAAGCCCGGAACACCCAGAGAGATCCACAGGGTTAAGTAGGGAAGAGACAGGGGAGGGAGAAGATAGAGGTGACCTGGAGGAGAAGAGGGAGGATCAAAGAAGAGACAGCAATCAAGCCAGTAATCACACCCCTAAGTGAAAATGAATACTGAAGATTAGATTCTTAAAGGTACAAAACGGATATACCAAAAAGCAAAGATTAACAATCCAGATTCATGGTTAGACTCTCTAAAAAAATATTTAAAATACAAAACAAAAACAACCACAAACATATATATATATATATGAAATTTGCTTTAAAAATATGGTCTTTTTTCGGCAAGGTAGTAGTAGGTTATAAAAATGAAATTTAAAGGAGTAGTAAATAAATTAAATTTTTAAAAAATAAAAAGTGATAATAGTAAAAATATATCTAGGAGTTTCTCTGGTGCTGTTGTGGGCAGTATGGGGTCAGTTCAATTTCAGATAGTTCCTTGTTCCAGCTTGTACTTGTTCTCAAGGTCTATGCTGCTGCTGCTGCTGCTAAGTCGCATCAGTCATGTCTGACTCTGTGACCCCATAGACGGCAGTCCACTAGGCTCCGCCGTCCCTGGGATTCTACAGGCAAGAACACTGGAGTGGGTTGCCATTTCCTTCTCCAATGCATGAAAGTGAAAAGTGAAAGCGAAGTCGCTCAGTCATGTCCGACTCTTTGAGACCCCATGGACTGCAGCCCACCAGGCTCCTCCATCCATAGAATTTTCCAGGCAAGAGTACTGGAGTGGGTTTCCATTGCCTTCTCCACTCAAGGTCTACAGGCCCCTTTCAATGCTTAGTCAATATTAACCACCGGGTTTTAATCTGTTGCACCTGTCACTTCCAGAGCAGTTCCCTCTTGTTTGTTTTGGCTTTCTCTGTTTGCAAGTCTCTTCAGTGTCTAATTTCTGCCTTGACACAAGCGGACGAAGATGGTCACTTATTTAGGCTCACTTGTTCAGTTGTGTTGTGGGGGGGGGGGGCACTGCAAACAAATATCATTGGTGCATGTGGGGAGTGCTAGCAGTGTATGGACCACACTGGGTTTGCCCCAGGTCAAGGCAGCGTGTGCTTCCTGGGTCTCCACTGCTCAGGCTCCAGGGTGCTCTGCAGGGGCACTGTCCAAAACAGGGCCTGTGTTCTGTGCACTTCCCAGGTCTAAGCTGCTCAGGTTCTTGGGTACTCTGCAAGGGCACAGACTCAGCTGGGCGTGCATTTTTTGCCTTTCCCAGGTCTGAAGAGCTCACGCGACCAGGTGCTTGGTGAGTGAACTGTCCCAGGTGGACCATGCATCTTAACCCCCCCCTCCCCCACTGGGTCCCGGCTGCTTAGTTTCCTGGGTGCACTAGGAAAGCACCATCTCAGATATGTCATGTGGCTCCTCTGGGGAGCTGATCTCAGGCTGTGACCCTCCTGAAAGGTGTCAACCATCCAGGATCCAAGGGAGATGTGGTAAGCAACTAGGAGCCTGCTCACAGTTAGGTGGAGGATGCCGGTCTCTGGGGTTGACACTGGAGCAGCCCCTTTCAGCTCCTGCTGTGGCAAGCCTGCCCCACTGCCTCCAGCGGGGGTGGGGGGGTGGGGGTTGGACTGTATGAAGCTGGCTAGCTTTCCTTTGGTATTCACTCAGTACTTTGTTGAGGATTGAGGCCAGGCTGTACATTAGAGCCTTTCACAGGAAAGTTCTTTCTTTTTTCTCTCTCTCTCTCTCTGGTGATTCCAAAATTTAGGTTGCTATCTCATGTTAGCTCCCTCAGATCGTCCTCAGGGCATTCAGGCCCGGTCCTTACTCTAAACACCAATTATGCAGTCTGCCTACCTGTCTAGCCCCCACTCACTGGTGGCAGACATGGGCATCTAGGCTACTTCTCTGCTGGCAGCAGTTAGGCGTGTAATCTGTGCTTTGTTTTGTTTTGTTTTTCTCCACTACTGATTATGTTGCCCTCTGAGATTCCAAAATTCCCCACGGATGCCTGTGAAAGGGTTTCCTACTGTCTGGAAACTTCTCTTCCTTCATGACTCCCTCCCCAGGATGGGTCTCCAACCCTAAGTATTTTGTCTCTCTTTTTGTCTTTTATATTTTGTCCTACCTCCTTTAGAAAAGAATGGGCTGCCTTTCTGGGTGCCTGGTGTCCTCTGCCAGTGTTCAGAAGTTGTTTTATGGAAGTTGCTCAGCATTCAAATGATTTTTGATGAATCTATGGGGGAGAAAGTGGTCTCCCTGTCCTATTCCTCCACCATCTTGGGACTGCCCCCTGAGGTAGAATCTATTATTCCCTCTAATTTACGAGTGAGGAAATGGAGGGTCAAACAACTAAGTGACCTGTCCTGGAGCATTTCAGAAGCTGGCAGGGCCCAATAGGGCCCCCATGTCTGGGTGGCAAGGCAGAGCTAAACCAGTGACACCAGTAATATGCCAAGTGAAGGACTCACACCTGAGCTGTGTCCTTAAGGAAGATATTATACAACCTTAACATTTATATATCAGTCAGTCTGCAGGAAGGTGTTTATGTAGATATAGAACTCAGAAAACTGGAAAAGCCAACTAGGGTCCAAATTTGGAAATGCCCAGGGATTGGATTATGGATTTAATTTGATGAGTGCCACCTCCTACCCTCAATGTTTCCATACTTATACTTGGAGGAAAATTTTTAAATCAAACTGTGACAAATTTGTAAATCTGGGCAACTTTTACTTATTGGTTGGTTTCTTCTTTTGGCCTCATTGAACACTCATCAAACCAGCCATTTCTAGTGGTGACATGCTTTCCAGTCTTTCCTGTGCTAGTGGGAGAAATTCTGATTTCTTTGTTAATTCACAATTCCCAGTGTGATCTGCTCCTGCCATCATATCACATGACTTATATGCTGCTTCTCTGTGGGCACAGTGCTATATCTGATTCATGAATATGTCTCTGTTTACATGTTTTTAATTTTACACAGTTTTATAGTCCTCTTCCCAAAATCCTACATGAGTGTTGTGAGATTTATACAGTGTTAAACCATTTAATATATTTTCTTACTGCTATATGGAAAGATAATTAGCTTTATCCTATTGAGTTTTTTAAAGTAACCTAGTTTTAAATCTTATCAATTTTGATATATTATTAAAGATTAATTTTTTTGATAAATAAACATTTCATCTAAGAATAATGACAGTTTTTTCTTCCTTTCCAACCTTATACATATTATTTCTTTTTGTGGACACATAATTTTGTTCATATTAAAAAGAATATTTTTAACATTTCAGTATTAATTTTGGTAACTATTTGTTACAGCTATTTGGTAAACCCCCTTTATTAGGAAACAAAACTTTAGCCCTAAATTGTTGAGCTTTCATCACTAATTTGATGTTGAATTTTATCAAATATTCTTGGATAGACTGAGATAATCATATGATTTTTCTCCTTTAATATGGTCAGTTACTGGGGCTTCCCTGATGGTTCAGCTAGTAAAGAACCCACCTGCCAGTGCAGGACACTCAAAAGACATGGGTTTGATCCTTTGGTTGGGAAGATCCCCTGGAGAAGGAAATGGCAACCAACTTCATTATTCTTGCCCGGAAAATTCCATCAACAGAGGAGCCTGTCAGGCTACAGTTCTTGGGGTCGCAAAGTTCCCATACATACATACACATGGTCAATTATGTTGGTTGATTTCCTAATGATAAATTAAATTTGTAATCCTGATAAACTCAAATTAGTTATGACATATCTTTTTTACACATGAAGTTAGATTCTGTTTGATAGTACTCTGTTTAGAATTCTAACAGCTATGTGAGATCACTCTATAGCTATCCCCTCATGCTGTCCTTCATACTGTTCATGGGGTTCTCAAGGCAAGAATTCTGAAGTGGTTTGCCATTGTCTTCTGCAGTGGAAGTCCATTCGAAGGACTGATGCTGAGGCTAAAACTCCAATGCTTTGTCCACCTGATGCAAAGAACTGACTCATTGGGAAAGACCCTGATGCTGGGAAAGATTGAAGGCAGGAGGACAAGGGGATCACAGAGGATGAGATGATTGGATGACATCACTGACTCAATAGACATGAG